CTTCCCCCACACTCACAAGGGCTCTTCCTCACTCCTACAAGATGTTATTCCTCCTTGCCCTTTTACCGAAATCACAGTTCCCTATCTTCATCAACATTTAACAATTCCTCAAAATTTTCCCCTCCATCTTCCCAATACCTCTAACTCTCCATTTAATAACTCTCCTCTCCTATTTTTAACTGACAAATCCATTTGTTCTCTAGGCTTCATTAACTTGTTAATCTCTCTCCAAAACTTTTTCTTATTTTCAACAAAATTTGTTGATAACCTCTCACCACTCTCTCGTTTGCTCTCTTTTTACATTGCTTCACCACTCTCTTAACCTCTCTCTTTTTTCTCCATATACTCTTCCCTCCTTGCATCACTTCTACCTTGTAATACTTCTCATATGCTAACTTTTTCTCCCTTACTACTCTCTTTACATCATCTTTCCACAATCGCTCCTCTTCCCTCCCGCACCCACTTTTCCTGTAACCACAAACTTCTGCTGAACACTCTAACACTACATTTTTAAACCTACCCCATACCTTTTCGACCCATTGCCTATGCTCTCATTAGCCCATCTATCCTCCAATAGCTGTTTATATCTTACCCTAACTGCCTCCTCTTTTAGTTTATAAACCTTCACCTCTCTCTTCCCTGATGCTTCTATTCTCCTTGTATCCATCTACCTTTTACTCTCAGTGTAGCTACAACTAGAAAGTGATCTGATATATCTGTGGCCTCTATAAACATGTACATCCTGAAGTCTACTCAACAGTCTTTTATCTACCAATACATAATCCAACAAACTACTGTCATTTCGCCCCTACATCATATCTTGTATACTTATTTATCCTCTTTTTCTTAAAATATTGTATTACCTATAACTAAACCCTTTCTATACAAAGTTCAATCAAAGGGCTCCCAAATATCATTTACACCTGGCACCCCAAACTTACCTACCACACCTCTCTAGAAGTTTCTCCTACTTCAGCATTCAGGTCCCCTACCACAATTACTCTCTCACTTGGTTCAAAGGCTCCTATACATTCACTTAACATCTCCCAAAATCTCTCTCTCTCCTCTACATTCCTCTCTTCTCCAGGTGCATACACGCTTATTATGACCCACTTTTCGCATCCAACCTTTACTTTAATCCACATAATTCTTGAATTTACACATTCATATTCTCTTTTCTCCTTCCATAACTGATCATTTAACATTACTGCTACCCCTTCCTTTGCTCTAACTCTCTCAGATACTCCAGATTTAATCCCATTTATTTCCCCCCTACTGAAACTCCCTACCGCCTTCAGCTTTGTTTCGCTTAGGGCCAGGACATCCAACTTCTTTTCATTCATAACATCAGCAATCATCTGTTTCTTGTCATCCGCACTACATCCACGCACATTTAAGCATCCCAGTTTTATAAGTTTTTCTTTTTCTTTTTTAGTAAATGTCTACAGGAGAAGGGGTTACTAGCCCATTGCTCTCGGCATTTTAGTCGCCTCATACGACACGCATGGCTTACAGAGGAAAGATTCTTTTCACTTCCTCATGAAACAATAGAAGAAATAAAGAAGAACAAGAGCTATTTAGAAAAAGGAGAAAACCTAGATGTATGTATATATATATGCATGTGCGTGTCTGTGAAGTGTGACCAAAGTGTAAGTAGGAGTAGCAAGATATCCCTGTTATCTAGCGTGTTTATGAGTCAAAAAGAAACCAGCAATCCTACCATCATGCAAAACAGTTTACAGGTTTCTGTTTCACAGTCATCTGGCAGGACGGTAGTACTTCCCTGGGTGGTTGCTGTCTACCAACATACAAGTATGATATAGCATGTAATGAAGGTAGTTTGTTAGATTATGTATTGGTGGATAAAGGTTGATGGGTAGGCTCCAGGATATACATGTTTATAGAGGGGCAACTTACATATTGGATCATTATCTAGTTGTAACTACAGTTAGAGTATGAGGTAGATGGGACAAAAGTAAAAAGGCAACAAGAAGTAAGAGAGAGATGAAAGTGTATAAACTAAGGGAGGAGGAAGTTCAGGTGAAATATAAGCAACTATTGGTAGAAAGGTTGGCTGGTGCAAGTATGAGTAGTGGGGGGGGGGGGGGGTTGAAGAGGGTTGGAATAGTTTTAAAAATGCAGTATTAGAATGTGGGGCAGAAGTTTGTGGTTATAGGAGGGTGGGTGCAGGAGGAAAGTGGAGTGATTGGTGGAATGATGAAGTAGAGGGTGTGATAAAGGAGAAAAAGTTAGCTTATGAGAGGTTTTTACAAAGCAGAAGTGTTATAAGAAGAGCAGAGTATATGGAGAGTAAAAGAAAGGTGAAGAGAGTGGTGAGAGAGTGCAAAAGGAGAGTGGATGATAGAGTGGGAGAGGCACTGTCAAGAAATTTTAATGAAAATAAGAAAAAAATTTTGAGTGAGTTAAACAAGTTAAGAAAGCCTAGGGAACGAATGGATTTGTCAGTTAAAAACCGAGTAGGAGAGTTAGTAGATGGGGAGATGGAGGTATTGGGTAGATGGCGAGAATAATTTGAGGAACTTCTAAATGTCGACGAAGAAAGGGAGGTGGTAATTTCATGCACTGGCCAGGGAGGTGTACTATCTTTTAGGAGTGAAGAAGAGCAGGATGTGAGCGTGGAGGAGGTGCGTGAGGCATTACGTATAATGAAAGGGGGTAAAGCAGCTGGAACTGATGGGATCATGACAGAAATGTTAAAAGCAAAGGGGGACATAGTGTTGGAGTGGTTGGTATTTTTGTTTAATAAATGTATGAAAGAGGGGAAGGTACCTAAGGATTGGCGGAGAGCGTGTGTAGTCTCTTTATATAAAGAGAAGGGGGACAAAATAGCAGTTTGGAGGGATATGTTGTGTACCTTTATACGTATATGCTTCTAAGTTGTTGTGTTCTGAGCACCTCTGCAAAAACAGTGATTATGTGTGAGTGAGGTGAAAGTGTTGAATGATGATGAAAGTATTTTCTTTTTGGGGATTTTCTTTCTTTTTGGGTCACCCTGCCTCGATGGGAGACAGCCGACTTGTTAAAAAAAACAAAACAGGAAAAGTGTACCGTAGGGTTATTATTGAACGAATTACAGGTAAGACATAATGTAGAATTGCGGATGAGCAAGGAGGTTTTAGAGTGGGTAGGGGATGTGTAGATCAAGTGTTTACATTGAAGCATATATGTGAACAGTATTTAGATAAAGGTAGGGAAGTTTTTATTGCATTTATGGATTATGTGTCCAGTGAAGGCTTTCACTTGGTTGTCAACATCCCCTTGGAGAAAAGCACTCCAATCGGTGGTGGCTAGCTCAGAGCAAAGGTCTGGCAAATTACCTCTTTCCCATAGCCAGATTGTGCATGTGGACTCCTCACCTCGTTCTATTGGGATCTTAAGTGTCGTAAAAACAGCCTTGTGGTCAGACTATCCAGCGTAGCCGAGGGGATGACAAGCCTTCTGCCAGATCACTCAGTACTGGGTCAAGGGAGAAGCCAGAGATGTGAGTAGGGAAATCAACAAAGTTTCTCATGTCAAATACTGCAAGAAGGTCATCAAAGTCCCTCTGTATAAGGTGTTGGTTGAGGTCACCAACAATTATGATATGTTGACAGTTGTGTTGTAGCAGAAGAGAGTCAATAGTTTCCATTAGGAAGTTGATGGGGTCTGCATGTTGCCACTGAGGTCTGTACATTGCGCATGCTAGCACAGAGGTGCTAGTGTTTATGTAGAGCTTGAACATCATTTCAAGATGTGTAGGGGTGGCAACATCAATGTGCTGGGCATGAACACTTTTAGAGAAGCACACAGCAACACCTCCTCCTTGCCCTTGCCTGTCTCTTCTCATCCCTGAGGTGTAGCCAGCAATTCTTGCAAAATTTTCTGGAGTCCTGTCATCCAAAAATGTTTCAACAACAGCTATCATGTTGGGTATGTCGAGTGTTTACAAAACTGTGTGTGAGCTCTCCATCTCTCTCTCCAGCTCTCTCTCCAGCTCTCTCTCCAGCTCTCTCCATCTCTTTCTCCATCTCTCTCCTCTCTCCATCTCTCTCTCCATCTCTCCAGCTATCTCTCCAGCTCTCTCTCCATCTCTCTCTCTCTCTCTCCATCTCTCTCCTCTCTCTCTCTCTCCTCTCTCTCTCCATCTCTCTCTCCATCTCTCTCTCCATCTCTCTCCCTCTCTCTCTCCATCTCTCTCCATCTCTTCCATCTCTCTCTCCATCTCTTGCTCCATCTCTCTCCATCTCTCTCTCCATCTCTCTCTCTCATTCTCTCTCCATCTCTTCTCTCTCTCCTCTCTCTCCATCTCTCTCTCTCCTCTCTCCATCTCTCTCCTCTCTCTCTCCTCTCTCTCTCCATCTCTCTCTCTCCATCTCT